TACCATACTATATACCATATAAGGTCGATGGGACCATCATTTTGTACCATACCATATACCATACATGGTCGATGGACCATCAATTCTGTACCATTACAATACTGATGTACATTAACAAATATACGATAAACAATTTTATGCTTGCGATGTATTTTTATAACTTTGTATTTAGGTCTTTTAAAAAAATAACATTGTAATTTTATTACACCACATTTGTAATATATCCTATCAATGGCATTGATAGCTTTTGCGTATACCACGTGATCGGTAAAATAGATTGTATTAAAGCGCGAAATTGTATTTTTAAAAGCGTGATGTATATGAACAAATATATACGATAAACAATTTTATAGCTTGTGATGTATTTTATAACTTTGTATTTAAGTCTATTAAAATAAATAACATTGTAATTTTATTAATATTACATTCGTAAATATAAAAGTATGTATATAAATGTATGTAATCCAAAATAAAATAAACGCAATTTTTATTATTCAAACACGTGTTTGTTATTGCACTCCTTTTAATTAATATCCCTTTGTTAAGTTAACATCCTTAACCATACTTAAAAAAAGAAATATTCTGAGTTCTTCCAGCCACTTTCGCGCACATTATATTCTCCTAATACAAAACGAGAAATTGGAGAATTTAGTTTTCCGCATTTTCGAGTTTTTGTATAGGAAAGCATAATAACCGAAGAGGTATTCGAGCGACTTCTCACTCATTATATTCTCCTGTTAGAAACTCGAGAAATTGGAGAATTTAAGTTTTCCGCATTTTTGAGTTTTGGTAATAGGAAGTATAATAACCGAAGAGGTATTCGAACGACTTCCACACTCATTATATTCTCCTGTTACAAAATCGAGAAATTGGAGAATTTCAGTTTTCCGCATTTTCGAATTTTGGTAATAGGAAAGCATAATAACCGAAGAGATATTCGGACGACTTCCTCACTCATATATTCTCCTGTTAGAAAATCAAGAAATTGGAGAACTTCAGTTTTCTGCATTTTTGAATTTTTGTAATATGGAGGCATAATAACCGAAGAAGTATTCGAACGACTTCCTCACTCATTATATTCTCCCTGTTACAAAATCGAGAAATTGGAGAAATTTCAGTTTTCCGCATTTCTGAGTTTTCGTATTAGGGAAACATAATAACCGAAGAAGTATTCGAACGACTTCCTCACTCATCATATTCTCCTGTTACAAAAATCCGAGAAATTGGAGAATTTCAGTTTTTCCGCATTTTCGAGTTTTGGTAATAGGAAAGCATAATAACCGAAGAGGTATTCGAACGACTTCCTCACTCATCATATTCTCCTGTTACAAAATCGAGAAATTGGAGAATTTCAGTTTTCCGCATTTTCGAATTTTGGTAATAGGAAAGCATAATAACCGAAGAGGTATTCGGACGACTTCCTCCCTCATTATATTCTACTGTTTGAACATCGAGAAATTGGAGAATTTCAGTTTTCCGCATTTTTGAGTTTTGGTAATAGGGAAGTATAATAACCGAGAGATATTCGAACGACTTCCTCACTCATTATATTTCTCCTGTTTGAAAATCGAGAAATTGGAGAATTTCAGTTTTCTGCATTTTTTGAATTTTTGTAATATAGGAAGCATAATAACCGAAGAAGTATTCGAACGACTTCCTCACTCATTATATTCTCCTGTTACAAAATCGAGAAATTGGAGAATTTCAGTTTTCCGCATTTTCGAGTTTTTGGTAATAGGAAAGCATAATAACCGAAGAGGTATTCGGAACGACTTCCTCACTCATCATATTCTCCTGTTACAAAATCGAGAAATTGGAGAATTTCAGATTTCCGCATTTTCGAGTTTTGGTAATAGGAAAGCATAATAACCGAAGAGGTTATTCGAACGACTTCCTCACTCATCATATTCTCTTGTTACAAAATCGAGAAATTGGAGAATTTCAGATTTCCGCATTTTCGAGTTTTAGTAATAGGAAAGCATAATAACCGAAGAGGTATTCGAACGACTTCCTCACTCATCATATTCTCCTGTTACAAAATCGAGAAATTGGAGAATTTCAGTTTTCCGCATTTTCGAATTTTGGTAATAGGAACGCATAATAACCGAAGAGGTATTCGGACGACTTCCTCAGTCATTATATTCTCCTGTTACAAAATCGAGAAATTGGAGAATTTCAGTTTTCCGCATTTCGGAGTTTTCGTATTAGGGTAACATAATAACCGAAGAAGTATTCGAACGACTTCCTCACTCATCATATTCTCCTGTTACAAAATCGAGAAATTGGAGAATTTCAGTTTTCCGTATTTTCGAGTTTTGGTAATAGGAAAGCATAATAACCGAAGAGGTATTCGAACGACTTCCTCGTTCATCATATTCTCCTGTTACAAAATCAAGAAATTGGAGAATTTCAGTTTTCCGCATTTTCGAATTTTGATAATAGGAAAGCATAATAACCGAAGAGGTATTCGGACGACTTCCTCCCTCATTATATTCTCCTGTTTGAAAATCGAGAAATTGGAGAATTTCAGTTTTCCGCATTTTCGAATTTTGGTAATAGGAAAGCATAATAACCGAAGAGGTATTCGGACGACTTCCTCACTCATTATATTCTCCTGTTACAAAATCGAGAAATTGGAGAATTTCAGTTTTCCGCATTTCTGAGTTTTCGTATTAGGGTAACATAATAACCGAAGAAGTATTCGAACGACTTCCTCACTCATCATATTCTCCTGTTACAAAATCGAGAAATTAGAGAATTTCAGTTTTCCGCATTTTCGAGTTTTGGTAATAGGAAAGCATAATAACCGAAGAGGTATTCGGACGACTTCCTCACTCATTATATTCTCCTGTTACAAAATCGAGAAATTGGAGAATTTCAGTTTTCCGCATTTTCGAGTTTTGGTAATAGGAAAGCATAATAACCGAAGAGGTATTCGAACGACTTCCTCACTCATTATATTCTCCTGTTACAAAATCGAGAAATTGGAGAATTTCAGTTTTCCGCATTTTCGAATTTTGGTAATAGGAAAGCATAATAACCGAAGAGGTATTCGGACGACTTCCTCACTCATTATATTCTCCTGTTTGAAAATCGAGAAATTGGAGAATTTCAGTTTTCCGCATTTTTGAATTTTGGTAATAGGGAAGTATAATAACCGAAGAGGTGTTCGAACGGCTTCCTCACTCATTATATTGTCCTGTTACAAAATCGAGAAATTGGGGAATTTCAGTTTTCCACATTTTCGAGTTTTGGTAATAGGGAAGTATAATAACCGAAGAGATATTCGAACGATTTCCTCACTCATTATATTCTCCTGTTTGAAAATCGAGAAATTGGAGGACTTCAGTTTTCTGCATTTTTGAATTTTTGTAATATGGAGGCATAATAACCGAAGAAGTATTCGAACGACTTCCTCACTCATTATATTGTCCTGTTACAAAATCGAGAAATTGGGGAATTTCAGTTTTTCACATTTTCGAGTTTTGGTAATAGGGAAGTATAATAACCGAAGAGGTATTCGAACGACTTCCACACTCATTATATTGTCTTGTTACAAAATCGAGAAATTGGAATATTTCAGTTTTCCGCATTTTCGAGCTTTGGTAATAGGGAAGTATAATAACCGAAGAGGTGTTCGAACGACTTCCTCACTCATTATATTGTCCTGTTACAAAATCGAGAAATTGGAGAATTTCAGATTTCCGCATTTTCGAGTTTTAGTAATAGGAAAGCATAATAACCGAAGAGGTATTCGAACGACTTCCTCATCCATTATATTCTCCTGTTAGAAAATCAAGAAATTGGAGAATTTCAGTTTTCTGCATTTTTGAATTTTTGTAATATAGAAGCATAATAACCGAAGAGGTATTCGAACGACTTCCTCACTCATTATATTCTCCTGTTACAAAATCGAGAAATTGGAGAATTTCAGTTTTCCGCATTTTCGAGTTTTGGTAATAGGAAAGCATAATAACCGAAGAGGTATTTGAACGACTTCCTCACTCATCATATTCTCCTGTTACAAAATCGAGAAATTGGAGAATTTCAGTTTTCCGCATTTTCGAGTTTTGGTAATAGGAAAGCATAATAACCGAAGAGGTATTCGGACGACTTCCTCACTCATTATATTCTCCTGTTACAAAATCGAGAAACTGGAGAATTTCAGTTTTCCGCATTTCTGAGTTTTCGTATTAGGGAAACGTAATAACCGAAGAAGTATTCGAACGACTTCCTCACTCATCATATTCTCCTGTTACAAAATCGAGAAATTGGAGAATTTCAGTTTTCCGCATTTTCGAGTTTTGGTAATAGGAAAGCATAATAACCGAAGAGGTATTCGAACGACTTCCTCACTCATTATATTCTCCTGTTACAAAATCGAGAAATTGGAGAATTTCAGTTTTCCGCATTTTCGAGTTTTGGTAATAGGAAAGAATAATAACCGAAGAGGTATTGGAACGACTTCCTCACTCATTATATTCTCCTGTTACAAAATCGAGAAATTGGAGAATTTCAGTTTTCCGCATTTTCGAGTTTTGGTAATAGGGAAGCATAATAAGCGAAGAGGTATTCGAACGACTTCCTCACTCATTATATTCTCCTGTTACAAAATCGAGAGATTGGAAAATTTCAGTTTTCCGCATTTTCGAGTTTTTGTATTAGGAAAGCATAGTAACAAATTTCCAATTTCCAATTTCCAATTTCCAATTTACCGTCTATATTGAAAGAGGGATAATAATGAACACTAATTTGTCTAAATAGTACAAAGAACATTTATTGAGTTTTTATTACTTTATGAATACATATTTTACAAACATATTTTATATTTTCATAATACATATAATATGTATACTTTTATTTTGTATAAATTTACTTAAATAGTACGAAGAACGTTTATTGGGTTTATATTACATTATAAATACATATTTTACAAACATATTTTATATTTTCATAATACATGTAATATGTATATCTTTATTTTGTATAAATTTACTTAAATAGTACAAAGAACGTTTACTGGTTTTATCGAAGCGTTGAAGCCTCTTTTCCGCGATGTTGATTGGTCGTCTCGACTGTCTCGATCGTCTCGATCGGTCACGGCTGCATTCATGTCGCTCGCAGCTGTCATCGCGGCGAATGACAGCTGAATGACAGTTTGTACGAAAGGAGTTATAATGGGGTTATATCAGATTAATAATTTTCTAACATAAAATAATAAGGTATAATATATTTTTTCTTCTTTATCGGGTAATGGTAATAAATATAACGACAGAGAGAGAGAGAGAGAGAGAGAGAGAGAGAGAGAGAGAGAGAGACTGAGGAAGACAGAGAGGGAAAGAGAGAGAGGGAGAGAGTTAGGGGGGAAGAGATAGAGCTTAAGATGGGCTTGAACAGAAATGTTGAACGTCGACATTTTCATTGGTTATACGGTTACGCGTTACTATCCAGAAAATATGTGTCATGAAATTTCAAACTGTGTGCGCCTAATACATCGTATGTTAGCGTCGGATATTATCGAACTTATGTTATACTCCAGGGATTATATTTGATTTATAATATTTATTCTCAACTTTAATATGAATAAGCTAAAGTGGCGCGCGCTTGTAGTATTCTAGTACGCGTTAAATAACGCGTGACTTAAAATGTGTAGAAGAAATGTGTAAAAAAGATTCATTCATTTACACGCTTGTGCATTTCCAAATAACTCCAAATAACACTTGGATTTGCAATGTTGCTCAATTCACCTTCGTGACACACTTGAGGTGTGTTATTTTGATATACAATACCTTCATAACACATTTGAGATATGTTATTTTAATATATACTTTCATAACACACTGAAAGTGTGTTATTTTAATACACTTAACCATTAACACACAATACAAACGATTATATTTAACATACATACATAAATGTGTTCTTTTAACATACATATATGTGTTAATTTAATTTGCTGATTTTGTATGTCTAAAGTGGAGACATACTTTAACACGCTTCAAGTATGCCATTGTAACACACTTCAGTTTACGCTCTAGTGTAAACTGCGTCTACACGCTTGTGTAAAGTGTGTGTGTGTGTGTGTGTGTGTATGTTGTGTAAAGTGTAGACTGCGTCTACACGCTTGAGTGCCTTGTAATTATGAAGTATTTTTACAAATATAATTCGTACGTGTCTGTGTTACAATGTATTCTACACCATCCTTGACATCCCTCGCTATATATATTTGGATTTATATGACTATTTTCTTTGTTACTTTCTTTATTCATAGGCTGCGCCATGTTGGATCGGAGACTGATCAGTAAAGGTAGCGACGAATATTTATGATGAGAAAAATGGCGACCGCTCGCTCAACATGTTGAGCGAGTGAGCGCGTCGCTCAGTAGCGCTCAGGACGATATCACTCAACGGTTGCACAATCGTTGTCCTGGACGTGTGTCCTGGACGCACCCATTGTGTTGCGCGGATATGCGCCAAGTCGGCTGCGAAAGAAAGTCCTCCCTGCGATCGTTGCGGAAACTTAACCTTTCAGTTCGCAGACAGACTGAGCGAACTGCGATTAATAATAAACGCGCGAATTATCGCGCGCGCACTTTGTGTCGCGGCGACAGCAACAAACAAGTGACGGCGACAGTAATAACAACGGTGGTAAAAATAACGGTGGTGGTGTGGTGACGCGGTAATAATATATGACGACGAGATAATACAATTAGCAAGAGCTACCAATTAGTATCCCCCACTGGAAGCAGAGTAACATTTCACTCGGCGCGATATATCCGCGACGTAGCGCGCAAACGGAATTTCATAATGGCGTGTCTTTGTCGTCTAATTAACACAGCGATATTAAGTTACAGCGAACAATGCGTTTTATCGAGCCGCGCGTGTATCTCAAATGGATTTCAACGATAACGCGTGACACATCGTGTCAAATTCCGCGGGCCGATCGGCCGCTGTTTAAACGCTCCAGATTTACTCTCGTCCCGGCGCGGCGCGGCCGACCGACGGCGAGTATTAATTGCAGAGTGTCCGCTCTCCGCGCGCCCCCCCCTCCCTCCAGCCCGCGTCCGCCTTGATATCCACCCGAACACAGTTCCGCTCTGCCGTCTTCCGCGAGAGACGTACGCGCGGGGATGAATAAGAGAACGGGTCGGCGGTAGATTGAACGCAACAATATCCAATACGCGGCCATTGCTCGAATTCATAGGCGACTGGCACGTCGACGCGAAGCACGGCGGTGTGGGCGACCGTGGCACACGTACAGCGCTTACCCCCTCACCCCTCCGCCCCCCCCATCCCGCAACTCGCGTATATACACACACACACACCCGCACAATGCACACGACGGATACGTCGAATGAAGAAACGTCTCCATGGTAAAACGCGAAGAAGAAGTTGGCGGACGGCCAGGCGCGAGAGAACCGAGCTCGCCGCTCGTCTCCGAGCAACGGCGACTGGCGATGCGCGGAGGTGGGCGTATGCTAAAATTGAAAGAAAAGGAGTGAGCCAGCCAGCCAGCCAGCCAGCCAGCCAGCGGATTCACGTCAGTCTGATTGGAGTCCCTCTGTTCCCGGACGCGTTTCTGGCTCGCATTCGAAATTCGCGTGATCGCGTCTCCCGGCGACGTACTTATGCTGGTATATTGGTACGTAGATACGAAGGGAAGAAAGAAGAACGCCAGCGGTAGCAAGCAGCAGCAGCGCGCGCGCCTTCCCTGTCACACGAGCCTCGCATAACGACGACATTGTCTCCAGTGTCTTCCTCGGGCGTTTTATCCCGCTCGGGGCACGCTCGGGGATCGTTTATTTTAAGAATCCACGCGTCGTAATAAACGCGATACACCCCGTGTGTCCTGCGGAGACTCCTGCTCCTGCGCTCCTCCCGCTCCTCGGCTCGATCGGCTAGCCTCGACTGCGCAGGCGCGCCGTGTGTTTTTCGACTCGCGTTTCCCTCAGTGGGAAATGATTTTTCCTCGTTCGAGGAAGAATGTTGTGTTATGGGGATGTTAGGGGGATGTTACCTGCCGGGAGATTTTAATGCCGTATATTCTTGGGCGATATCGAGTGATATTTGAAAAATTCAAAATGGCAGACCCGATGTGGCCCGATATGCCCGATATGGAGGTAAATTAGCGCGAGTCCGAATAAATGTAAATCAGACATAAAGCTCTCCCACATGGTCAATTATGAATTTCACGTCAGATTTCAGAAATTCAAAATGGCGGGTCCAACATGGCCGCCGCCGCCGCCGCCACAGGAGTAAAACCATAAAAATGTGTATAAATATGTTAGAAATAAAAGTTTCGTAGATTTCATGGATTATTTCGAATATAGTCGAATCAAACTCGTGAAATTTGAAATAGCTGAACCAACGTGGACTTCATAGAAAAGGAGATCTACGGAAGTACGCATATATACATACGCGAGAAATGCAATTTATAAGAATCCCGAAATTCATCTCCCAGAACTGTTTCGTGACGACTTCCTCTGAGCTTCCTCACCCAGAGCTAACATGTAGAGTAAGCATTAATATGTCAGAAAGATGTGAACTCATACTTATCTTCATTGCAAACTGCAAACCAGTACATCGTAAAAATGAAAGAGAGAAAGATGGTGTGGTGTAGATTTACCACTGCCGCACAAAGGTGGTTCATTCGGCAGAGAAACTCTTTGTCCTGAATCGCTAATTACTGAGAGAAATTACAACAAAAGCCCCTGCATCTTCATCGTGGAAACTCGGTCCCAAATCGGCCGCAGATTCCGCAGGTCGCGAAGAGGATACTCGACGAGTCTCTTCGACAGGTCCCATCGAATCTTTTAACATGTATTTATCCGCGACGCTAGCAGCGCTCAAAAAGAGGAAAGAGAAAGAGGGAGGTCATCGAATCTCGCATAATTTTCCATGGCTTAATCTTCCGTGAAATCAAGAATCGATGTTTATCGCGAAAAGACGAAACTGCACTTTTTACAAGCTTATTCAGCGCTGGCTGCGGAGCCCGCAAGCAGACCTCAACACACGTTTCCGGTAGTTACGACTAAAAGCTCGGAAATTCTCAGATTGTTTCGCGGCGATAAAGATTTAAAGTCGCTATTGGCTTTTGCAATTTAGAAGCTATTCTCGCGAGACGATTCCGAATGTCTCTGGGCGTGTATTTATCGCGTCAGAATTGCAACAGCACGAATTTTGCATCGCTTCGAGTCGGACCTAGCCGGGAAATCGCAAGAAAGCGCTTGCTCTGGAAGAAACGGTAGTAAACATAAATAGAATTAAACTGCACGCGCGTATAAATAAAAGATGGGCCAGCTGACCTGCTTTCTGAATTCGTCACCGATAGCGAATTCAAGCGACATTACCATAATTAGATCCGTGCATGAATTGTTGCGCTTCGTTAGGAAACCCATTGTACACTCTCTCTCTAAATTCTTGGAGTGAAATCTTGCTGAAGATGAGGGCAAATTTGCTCGAAGAGATAATGAAGATACTGCCGGGGACCAAACCGCAAGAGTGACTATTGACTGAGGTGAATTTGTTTCTGCGACGGTGAAGCACGAGTCGAGTTCACTCTTCAATTTCGAGTGAAAATATTCGCTCGGTGAAAGTCAGAGTAGAAAATTCATTATTAGTTAATGAAAGCCGAGAGAAGCAGCGAGAAACAATTCTTCCCTCGGCTTTTTCCCTTCTTTTTCAATAATAATAATAATAATAATAATACCAGCGAATAGTACATGTTCGGAAAATCAGATAAAATATGCGACATCGAAAACCCACCGGATATTCTACTCGTTACGGGTCTCTTGGTCGACTTAGGATACAGGCCGTGAGCAAACTTAGTTGAGCAGCAAAAATCAACACGAACTCAACTTTCAATCAACAAATGAGCAATCGATATGCGCACATGCACTTTGTTAGAGGTCCGGATGCACGCGCTCGATTTTTCCCACTCGTGCTTTATCCGCACGATACTAATGGTCAACTTTAATCGATTCATATCTCCTTCATCAATATTAAAATTGCCCGTTCGTATTGACTTTTGAAATACACCATCCCGCAAAACAGTTGTTTCCCAAACAACACAGGTTCCTAAATTTGTCCGAAAATTGATTATCCAATTACGATGCTAATTCCTACATCATTCTTATCTCAGCATTA